GCAACAGTAAAGAGCCACCAAGGCTTGCAACACAAGAGATACAAAAGGCTTCCAACACTATAGAGCCACAAGGCTTGCAACTCAGAGCCACAAGGCTTGTAAGACAAAAGTAACCCAAACCTCCAAATCCAGAGCCACAAAGGCTTGGCAAACAAAAGCTATATATTATAGAATTGCTTGCAATACAAATGTAGCAGGACTATAGCCACAGAGGCTTGCAAAGCAAAAGGCATAAAGGCTTTAAAAGCATATGCATTCCATTCACACAACCAAGCACATTTTTTGACAACATTTTCCACCACAGTTTCCATCGCAAGCAGGAAGGCAAGACCAGCACTTCATTTAGTGATCTTGGGTCTTTTTGTTGGCTTTGCAGGAATGTCATCAGTAGGCTTTTCCACAAGCAATTGGTCACCAGCTTTCAATGCCTTGGGGTTTGTGAAATAAGGCAACTGTACTTTTTCAATTGTTTGCAAGCCAGCAACCATTGTGGCTTCATCGCCTTCTGCAGTGCTTTTCACCCAATGGTAAGCATCCAGTACACCTTTCTTTTCATCAAAACTGGAAACAGCCTTGAAGCTGCTAATGGAATATGGCTGGCCAGCATAGGTTGCAATCAACTTCCCTTTTGTTTTTCCATCTTTGATCTTGCTGACAGTGCCACTGGGAAACAATTTCAACTCACCTTTCTTTATGGCTTTGCAAGCCCACACTGCAGTGGGACCATGAGTGAACATCAATGAGCCTTTGGCAGGGGCATGTGCCTGGCAGGCTTCCAGCAAAACAGTTTGCACCTTGGCCTTGGCAATTTCATCCTTCAACATTGCAGAGTTGTGTACCATCAACTCTTCCATTTCATTTCCTTCACACTTCTCAGCCTCTTGCCCTTTGTGCAATTTCCATGCTTTCAATTTCTCCAGAGAAACCTTGACTGATTCTGTTTCCCCAAAAAATGGCTTGTGCTCAAAGGTGAAGCCATCATCTTCTGTTTTCACCAATTGGAACTGTTTCTGGCCATGCTCCTTCTGATGAATGTACCTGAAATGAGAACTGGAACAGCTCTTTAGCAAACACAAAAACCCAACACCTCTATCAACATTTTAACAACTATCAACATTTCAACAATACTTGGCAAGGCCAAAGTGCATCATACCAATCTTCAAGTGGTCATTCTGGACCAAGGCCACATCTGCAGGCTTTGCATCGACCAAGTTCTCGATTTTGAGCTCATCATTCTTTGAACCCTTCACACCATCAAGCTTCTTTCTTGGGTTGGTCAATTCTTGAGCAAACTTATTGCCAATTTCTTCCAACCCACCTTTGAAGCCATCAGGCTCCCTTCCCAATTTCTCTTTGCCCAATAAATGCAAAATGCATCGCACACAAAGCCTTCCAAACACTGCAACTCTGACATTCTCATCTTGTGGAGATGTCTCCTTCAATTTCCAGCTGTCCAGCAGCAATTGCCTGGCAATTCATGTTTGGCAAATCTCATC